ATGAAGAAAAATACGTTTCTTTCTAGTTGCTACCAACTGATCATGAAAGATAAGAATATGTCTTTCAATTGTAACCCAAGCATATAGTATTATTTGGAGAGTATAAAATGTCCAGTCAATATATCCCCATATGAGACGAAAGGTGGATGATGGTGAAAACGATTGAAAGGAACGAAAATAATGAATAAACCAAGACATATCTGTTACTTGATAAAAAAGATCAATAACAAGAAGAACAATGATGATGTGATTATGCAGAGCTCGACGAAGAGTTCCATCGAAAAGAAAATGATATAAACTGTATAATGAACAGATCATTGATGGAATAGTTAGAAAAAGAAAAATCCACAATTGTGCGAAATAAAATCGTTGTGTATCGATGTCGAATAATGATATATCATTATAAGAACTGTTGTCTACCGTTGACATATTTCAGAGAAAAATAAATGTTGTTGACAAAGATGTGTTGAATAATTAGTAGTGAAAATTATACTTGGCTAGATTTAGAATTACTCAGGACATATTTAACGAATTATAAAACCAAGAAATACACCATTTAAGCTTCACCATAATTTTTTTTCCCCGAATCTTAATCTAGAGACAAAAGACATATGTCATGCGCTTCTCTGTGTCTCCGACATTTTCCCCGATGTTTGTAATATTTCTATTTTAAAGAAAGGCTTTGAAATAAAATAAAAAAGAGTTATTCGTGCGTGCTACTTTTTTTTATCATGCGTTTTATTAAAATAGCAGAAATGAATTAATGAACATAAAAGTAGTTTTAAAACTATCCTTCATTAGCTTTGAGAATCTAATATATATGGAAAATATTTTATATGCATATGTGATCTTTGTTTAAGTGAAAGCTCATTCATCACGTCAATTGTTTGAGTCTTCATCGCAGCTAGCTCATGTTCCATTCATTCATTCTTTTGAAAATGTAGCTATTCGACAAGCTTTATTTCAACAATTCAAAGAACCTTTTTTTTGTCAACTGTTTCAATAGGTTTTTCTCCGTTAATGGTAAAGTTACAAAATAAAATTAATCTGAGTTTCTTCTTGCTTTTGGTTAATATGTTATCCAATGTCATTTTAACAAATCTTTGTCATCGGTACGTGTTAGGATTCGAACACAACTGACATGATGTTATATAAAACTTTGCTAATCAACAGTATCCGAATAATATATAGACTAACTAAAATATAAATTCGATTCTTTGTCTTTTCGATTGGATATGAATCATATTTTCGGTTTTTTTCTTTAGTTTTTTAAGTATGGGAAGAATGATTACAGGAAAACATTTTTTTACATAGTTTTGTAGTGGTTAATTATCATTCGTAGTATAATCAGTTGGTTATATATGAATATATTAAGTCTGTCATATAAAAAAGATAAGTTAACCGAATAGATTCTTAAATGATTGAAGTATTTTTGAATAATTAATTGTATTTCGTAATATATTTCATATAATAATTTAACATATATGAGTGTTTTATTATTATCGATATTTTGTTTTTCGTTAAATGCTATGTCATAATCACCTATTGTAAGTGTTGTTTCATGACCTTTTCCAGCAACTATAATTGAATTATTTTTATCCTTAACTAATTCCATTGCCAAATATATTGTTTTTTCCCTTTCCGATTCTCATTTATTTTATCCTGAATTCTCGATAAAATTCCGTCAATTATTGTTTTTGGATCTTCTTGATAAGGACTTTCTGATGTAATTATCGTAATATCAGCATGTTGTTCTGCTACACGTCCAAGTATTGATCTTTTTAATCGATCACCACAACCATTACGTCCAAATACAACAATCAATCGATCGTTTTGATTCGATTTTATTTGCATTCTTTCTTTTCTTTGTCCTATATTCTTCTATTCTTTTTTTATTTGATCATTAGATTTAGAGAAAAAATAAAGAAGGAGCGAATAAAAGAGGCTTCTCGTGCTTACTGAATATTAAGCACATGTTGTATTCAGAAGAATGAAAAAACGAAAAGAAATGCTACCTCGTAAACAAAGGAGAAGAAGAAGAGAGAGCTTCAACTACTAACAAATAAAGTGTAATAGAGAAGAACGAAAGAACTACATTGCATGTATCTACTTGAGGAGAAGAACGTGGTAGGTACGAAAATAAATAGAATGAAAGTGAAACTATTGTTCTACACGATATTATGCGAACGTGTGATAAAATAGAAGAAACGCACATTCTTCACACACAGGGGTAAATAGTCGTTATTCTTCATGTTCTCTTTATGCAAATGTCGCCAATATCATCCCTCTTTCATTCATCACAGTCATATTTTATTTATTTGTAATGCAGATACTTCAGTCCTTTTTTTTCATTTATCAGCCTATTATTATTTTGAATAGAACAGCATGGCAGTTCCCTTGTTTGTTCACGCCAATAGAGTGCGTGTCGCATAGAAGAGTAAATGAAAATGAGTAGTGAGGATCCCGTGTGACACGTTCTACTATGTGATATGAGTTCGTTGCAATATTCATAGCAGCCTTATCCGCAAGAAAACGATCAGTATTACCTAGAAAAAAGCAGGTTAACCTTTTTTGATAATACGATAAATCGTTCTGCCCTATCCTTTCCAATACTCAATCGTTTACAACTATAATTGTTTAATTTATGTAGGTCCTACCACATTTTGACGACGTTCAACTACACAATCACCGAAAGCAAGCACAAAAATGACGACTACCATTGATCCAGAAGTCCTCATTAGACGCGCAACAATAAGCGATGCAAAAGGCATAAATTCACTCTTAGTTGATTCATTTTCTCTGCCATCTCCATTCTACGATTATCTCCTTCCAAAAGGTCAGTTAAATCGAGAACTAGTATTTGAATATTGGCACAAAGAAGCACTAGTGATGAACGATATAGCATACGTAGCAACAATCGATAACAAAATCGTAAGCGCTTCAATTGGTCGATATAGATCAACATCCTTTGTACCGCAAGATGCAGAAAATCACGAATTATCTTCTGAACAGAAGAAATTGATTGGATATGATGACTATACTACTGAACAACTCGAAATGATAATGACATTTCTTCATAATTTTGATTTCTGCTACGCAAACTGGGCAATACAAGCACAGCAATACATTCCCTTTGGTACACCATATGTCTATATTCGTGGAATGAACGTCTCAGAGGATCATCAGAAAAAAGGAATTGGATTACGATTACTGATTATGGTACTTAAGGAAGCTAAAAAGTTGAATGCACCTACATTCCTTGAAGCTTCACCTGCGGGGATGGCATTATATTTGAAAGCTGGAGCAGAGAAAGGTGGAACTATAGTGACCAAAGATCGTGAAGGGAATGTAGTGATGGAAGAGTCGTGTATGGTATGGAGAAATTACGATTTGATTTGACAAGAAAATATTCACAATCATGATTATATTTATGTAGAACTGATAGACAGAACATTAATGAAATTTAGTTTGAAATCAAAATACAAGGGTGAGAGTGTGAGTTTGTTAGTAAAATATTAAATCGAAAGAGAGAGCATGAAATTGGGTGTGTGGATGAAGATATTATCCACACCGACACCCACACCCTATCTTGTTTCTACCAAAACTTAATAAAAAAACTTCCGTTGAATAGGCATTACTGTAACTGTCATATATGATAGAAAAACAAATCTTACCGAAATTTTACTATTATAATATTAGTTGAAGTATGATCAAATAACATAGAAAGATAGACCTTCTTTTTCTTTATAAGACTGTATAGAAAGAAAATTTCTTTAAGTCTACTATACAGCATTAAAGTGTCACTCTCACTACTTTTGGACTGACCTAAGTAAATAAACTTATGAATATCACGTCATATTTTTTCGGTCATTTTACCAAAGGTATTTGATCATCGTGCATTTTGCAACTGAACAACACCTCGATTGTAACTATCTGTTGTCATTGTTTCTCTATTGATTCCATCTTGTTAATCGTTTTCGCTGATCTAATCCGACTTGTTCTTTTGTTTTTATGTTAGTACATACACATTTGTAATCGATCGAATACTAGAAGTCATTGCACGAAAGAGACAATCAACCCTGCTCAATTGATATCACAGATTTCAATGAAATTTTTGTCTTTGAAAACTACTTTAAC